ATCCTGCCATTTACAATATGGGTGGAACTTAAGGACATTATACTAAGTGAAATAAGTCAGACAGAGAAAGAAAATATTGGAATACTGAATTTCACTTTTATGTGAAATATAAAAAAAAACAAACTCATAGTGATGGAGAACACAGTGGTGTTTGCCAGGGGTGGATATTAGAGGGCAGGGAGTTGAGTGAAAGAGGTCAAAAGGTATCAATTTCCAGTTATATGATAAATGAATTCTGGGGATGCATTGTACAGCCATGTCACTGTAGTTACAATACTATATTGCATATTTGAAAGTTGTTAGTAAGTTGATCTTAAATATTCTCATAAGAAAAAGAATTGGTAACTGTGAAGTGATGAACTTATAAACTTTTTGTAGTAATTAACTTGCAATATATACATTTGTTAAATCAGTATGTTGTATGCCTTACACTACTAATACAATGTTTATGTCAATTACAGCTCAGTAAAACTGAAAACATAAAATAAAATAAAATAAAATGATTTCCTGAGTTACTGTCCAAATAATGGCAAAATAGCATCCCACTATCTCAATTCTAAACAATGCCAAGTGTAATAAAAATGTTTCCAAGGTTTCTGAATCAGTATGATTTCAAATTTTCTGTCTCACTTTTCCCATAAATATATTTCTCCCTGGCAAGTTTGGTATTTTAACTAATGTCCTGAAAAATTATAGCCATCAGTATTATAATTTAAAACAAAGAATTTTATTCATTTTACTTACACTCTATGACCTTCAAAGTTATAAAGTCTTCCATTTGAGAAGACCTTAGACCATTTTCTCTCCTAAAGCAAGAGGTCTTTCCAACATGCCTAAGAACTACAGCTTTTGCTGAAACCCCTATACCCCCAGGAAGCTTAGTAATCTGGGAAGGGACCCCTTCTATTACCAGACACTTGTTCTACTTGGCAGACCACTCATCATCCATTACCAATTTCCTATGATAGTTCTCTTGCTCATTTCTACTGAACCAATAATATTTATTATTTTAAAATTATTAAATTAATGAAAATTACTTATTAAAAAAAAAGTAGTCAAAGAATGCAGGTAAAGTCAAAGCCCTCTTTGACCACAACTTGCAGTCTCCTTTTTAAAGTTTCACTCATTCTGCACCTAACTAGAGACAGAAATATATCCTAATGCCTTTCTTGCTCATAAACAGAATTACTTTTCACTGTCACTTTTACAGTAATGTGTCTTTTACTGTAATAATAATTTTTATTGAAACATTCACCATATTTTGTAATCACACCTCACAGAAGCGGTAGGTCTAAAGTGCGTAACTGATCTGCCCATAAAATTATTTCAGCGAAATTCAGATTTGCCAGATCTGCATGTGGACAAGTCTTTATTTCTAATTAAGTTGTTCCTAATTTATCTTATTAGAAACATCCAAATATGAATGCTGAGAGTGAAGCAGTCCAGATAACACTACAACATGATTCTTCTGAGCCAGAGCCAAACAAATATAACCACATTTTGCACAGATTTTTAGTTTTATTGGGGTCTTGCTGCAACTAAAATGCCTCCATGCTGAAATACATCAGTCATTGAATCATAGTCCTGGAATGAACCTTGGAGACTACCTAGTCCATTTATCTATTGCAAGAATTGCTTCTCCAACATAAATAATACATTTGTATATCTCCTGGGAATAAGGAATTTACAAACTTATGAGGGAATTAGTCCCATTGTTAAAAGGATCTTAGAGTATAAATTGAACAGAAATATTTCTCTATGACTTCTACCAATTTATCCCATTTCTATTATTTGAATCCATATAAAACAAACCTACTTCCCTTCTATTAATGTTCTTCAGACTCTGAAACATGTCAGGAAGTTATACTACATAAATATGTTTATGATTTAGCTTAGTCAAGGCTTATTGAGCAAATATTGCTGGCATGTTGTATGAAAGATGTATGAATGGCAACTCTTGAAAGTGAAAGACAAGTATCTTCCCTGGAGCTATTTATTTATTGTTCCAAAGGTAATAAACCTAAGGATCATCATTTTTTTCTTCCCAGAGATGATTTACATTATTTACATTACAGAGCAAAGCTCTGTCTCACCTCTCTCCCTCCCTCATTTCTCTCT